CACCCTAACCTGCACATCCCTGGGCACTACGGGACAATTTAGCACGGGCAATCCACCCTAACCCGCACATCCCTGGGCACTAGGGGACAATTTAACACGGCCAACCCACCCTAACCCGCACATCCCTGGGCACTACGGGACAATTTATCACGGCCAATCCACCCGAACCTGCACATCCCTGGGCACTACGGGACAATTTAGCACGGCCAACCCACCTTAACCTGCACATCCCTGGGCACTGCGGGACAATTTAGCACGGCCAATCCACCCTAACCTACACATCCCTGGGCACTATGGGACAATTTAGCATGGCCAATCCACCCTAACCTGCACATCTTTGGACTGTGGGAGCAAACCGGAGCACCTGGAGGAAACCCACGCAGAGACGGGGAGACTGTGCAAACTCCCACACAGACAGTTGCCTGAGGGTGGGGATTGAACCTGGGTCCCGAGTGCTATGGGGCAGCGGTGCTAACCACTGAGCCACTTTTCCCTGGAGTGTCAGAGGCTGAGGGGTGACCTTATAGAGGTTTATGAAATCATGAGGGCCATGGATAGGGTGAATAGACAAGGTCTTTTCCCCAGGGTAGGGGAGACCTAAACTAGTGGGGCATAGGTTGTGAGAGGGGAAAGATTTAAAAGGGACCTGAGGGGCAATGTTTTCACACAGAGGGTGGTGTGTGTATGGAATGAGCTGCCAGAGGAAGTGATGGAGGCTGGTACAGTTACAGCATTTAAAAGGCATCTGGGATGGGGACATGAATAGGAAGGGTTTAGAGGGATATGGGCCAAATGCTGGCAAAGTTTAGTTCAGGAATCTTTGTCAGCATAGATGAGTTGGGTCGAAGGGCCTTTTTTTGCCTGTACTTGTCTATGACTCCATGAGAGATGTAATTTTCTCCTCAGCGTGGTTTTAAATCTGCCAGCTCCTATCCTAAAGCCATCGCCTCACCTGCTCCTTTACCGTACACAAGGAAACATCCTTCCCTATGTCTATTGCCTTTGGTATCATAGATACAGGCACAGCCTGAAGGATGGGTGACATGGGGAGAGGGATGGGTGACATGGGGAGCTTGATCCCATGAGGAGTGGGGGAGGTGAAACGGGTCGGAGGGTCAGTGCCGAGGGAGCGCCGCACTGTCGGAGGGTCAGTGCTGAGGGAGCGGGCACTGTCGGAGGGTCAGTGCTGAGGGAGCAGGCACTGTCGGAGGGTCAGTGCTGAGGGAGTGGGCACTGTCGGAGGGTCAGTGCTGAGGGAGGGGGCACTGTCGGAGGGTCAGTGCTGAGGCAGCGCCGCACTGTCGGAGGGTCAGTGCTGAGAGAGCGCCATCAGGCTCCAGCAGTGTGAAATGATGTGGTTATTTCAGACTGAAGATGGAGGGAGCTTTCTGTGAGAAAATTGGGTGCCATTTTCCAACTTTGTAACAATGACAACAACATAAAGCGGATATATTTTTATTTTTCTGTACGTGTCGTTGTGGGTGGAAAATGGGAAAAGAGTTCTTTTAGAAAACAGGAATGGTAGAAAGGGGTTGCGTTGCTGCAGAGTTAGAAAGAAAGTTCCTGCTCCTCATTGTGATCCCTGTTTGCACTGCTGCCGCTGTGGGGTGTCCTCGGGGTGGTGCGGGAGGTCTCTGAAAATGGGCTGGATATGGGCGCCTGCAGCGGGGGGGGGTCGGCCGACAGCAAGAAGCCGATTGGTCTGTGGTGTTCTTGATGACAAAGGAGTTCTGCCCGCCAACAGCGCCATGATTGGCTCCTGGGGACCTGAGCAGCTGGTGGGATCGAGCGATAGGGCCAGAAGCCTTTTGGACCTCCGGGAAAGGGAGGTCTGCAGCAGAAAATACCCGAAGCCTGAAGAAGACCCACCTTCGTCGCCCCACCGGCTGCTGTGAGACGTTGCTTTTAACCAATAAATCAGGCATTTTATTCTTTGTGAACCGGCTGGAGGAGAGAGAGATGGAAGAACAGCAAGTCCTGGAGAGCGAAGGGATCATTTCAGTGAACTCGTGGACAGGGACCATTGGGCTGTCTTCTCCTCCGTCTGTAATCCCAACGTTTTTGTGTCTATCAGTGCCTGTCGGGAATGGTTTTAAGGGGATTTGAGTCTCAACTGGGAGAGTTATATACCAGGTAGATCCTCGGGATGAAAGGAGTGGATTACGAAGAGGGGTGGGGTAGATAGGAACTGTGCTCATTGGAGTGAGACGACAGCTTATTGAAACATACAAGATTGTGAGGGGACTTGACAGATCGGGAAAGGTTGGGAGAGATTAGGCGCGATCTCAGAATAAGGGGTTGTATGTTTAGGACAGAGATGAGGATGTGTGTTCTCTCTCAGAGGGTAGTGAATCTGTGGGATTGTTGACCACAGAGGGCCGTAGAGGCTGGGTCATTAAGTATATTCGAGGCTGAGACGGATAGGATTTTAATGAGTGAGGGATCGAGG